ATTATATCGAATATACTTAGAAAATCTTTTGAAAAATCTTAAAATTCATTTATCTTAATTTGTTATATCGAAATATCAAAATGTTTTCAATATTTTAATTCAACCATGTAATTTAAATTTATTTTAATTTAGCCCCATGTTTTTTATTATTTGTAATTTTAGCACTTAATATTAAAAATGCTCATTTTAGTCACTTTTACACTTTATTTTATTTTAATTTTGACATGTTGGTTGTATTGTTTATGTTTTAGTCCTGTTTTTATTTTTATTTTTATTTTTGCATGTCGCTTGCATGTTAGTTCATTTTAGTCCTTAATTAATTTTGCATGTTACCCTAATAAGCATCACTTGACTCGAATCGAAATAAATAATATTATTTCATTTTAATATTTTCGTAAAGTGATTGTCTTAACGTATAAGAAAGTTACTTTTGATAATTTTAAAACGAAAGTATATACCATTTAGTGACACAAACTAAATCGAATTCATTTTAAAATTGGGGGATTGGGAAAAATATCATGTTCTTTTAATTAAATTCATCGAGAAAAGACTGTTAGATCGAATCTAAGGTCTTGTCTCGAGATATTTAAATAATTGAACATTCTTATTCTCATTAAATATTGGTAAAATAAATAAATAATTTTACTTGATTGATATGTCTTCATTTGCTTTATTTTTTCATGTGTTTTCCGTTGGGCTTTTCGAAATAATAACACTCAAATCAATATCGAGAATAGTAATATATTTCTATTTCGGTTGGAGTAATGAATGATTGTTTTAAGGCTTGAAAGTTCCTTTATTCTCGACTGGAAATAATTAGATCTTATCTGGCTCTCTCTTAAAAATTATTTTGGGTGTTGTTATTTTGAATTAATAATGAATTTTAAAATGGAATTTTAATATTTCTTTATTTCAATTGGAGTAAGAATCGATTGTTTTAAGGTATGAGAGATCGATTATTCTCAATAGGAAATAATTAATATTATCATGTTTTGTCCAAAAATTCAGAATATTATTTTTAGGGGATCTTAAATTAAAATAGACTCGAACTCGTAAATTTCATTGCAAAGACAATTAACTAATCGACTAGGTACCGATTTAGGGCGTTGTGGGGGGTGCTAATCCTTCCCTCACACGTAACCGACTCCCGAACTCGAATTTTGGTAACACATACATGTAGTTTGTTGTTTTAATTAAAATTAATATTTTATTAAAATGAAAAATACATTTTTGGATATCCAATCACACACTAATCAAGGATTACCGGTGACTCCTCAAACCATATTTTATCATTAACCGATCACCAAAAATTATTTCGAAACGAGACCCCCTTTTCCCCCTTTCAGAAAAAAAATTGTTTCAACACTACCCCATCTTATCTTCATGATAATCACTTCTCACTTAGAGAATCACCGGTTAACAACTTTTTTTCTTACCGACAGTGATTCTCCATTCAAATCAAAAGAGGTAAATTGTCAACGACCAATGAAATAAACTTATCGTCATTGATACTATTCTTCAGATTAAATTAATAGTTATAATACTCAAACAAAGTGTTTTGAAATTTGTCACCGATCTAAAATCGGATTCATAATCTGAGGATATTAACACTTTAGGTTTAATGTAATTTGCAGTATACCATAACACTTCAAGCTGTTTAGTTTCATCTCAGTTACAAACAGATGGTGGTTGTTTGATTATGTAATTCCAAAAGAAGCAGGGACCCAAACATTGGGCATTAAAGCTGTGGTGATTGAGGTGAATCAGTGTATAAGCAATGCAATGGAAAAGTGTTTGTCCTGAACGTCTGTTTTGGAATAATGGCCTCACTGCTGGAAAGCCAATAACTCAGATAAGCATGGCTTCAAGCAGGACAAATAATAATCCATCCCCCGATCATTTGTGGGGTGCCTACATTTCTCACATTTCTTTTACACTTTTAGCTTCCAATAATGTAGGGCATTTAGATTCACACCATCCTCTACAAATTATTGTATACTACTGTTGTTTGTAGGCTGGTACAAAATTTTACTGTCAATACCCCCAAATACCGCAATTTAACAACAAAAATACGAAATCATTAAGGGATTTTAGTAATAAAAGAAAATGTTGTTATTGTTAGAAGATATGAGATTGAACAACTGTATTTGCAGGGTGTGTTTAACAATAAGAATGAAAGCATTATTTATGTTGCATGGGTACGGTAACCTAATGTCATTTCAAGTACCTAATATATGTTCCTTAGATGGGTATGGGACGAGTACAACTGGGGTACGTACTGAGGACATTTCATGTTGAAGGAATACATTAAAATTAGTTTGGATTCATCAGAGAGATTTTCAAAGACGTATCATGGACGACTTTTGATCTTCACATGCGTACCCATGATTTTTTTTAATCTTCAACGATGAATTTTTAGATGAGATTCAAATATTCTTTTTAGTTGAGATGTCTCATTCATAAGAATCATCTTTCAGTTATCTTTTTAACGCATCTTGAAATGCCTCGATCGGATGTCGAAAACTCAAGATATATATGTTTTAATAAAGATAGTGCAATACGAATCTAATACACGCATGATTTTATACTAATTATAAAATTAAAATTTATTTATCATACTCATACTATATAATTTTAAAAGTACTGTTTCACGTCTCTGTATATGTCCTTATATCTATCTCCGTATTCATATCAGTACAATATAATAGCATTATTACTATGATTAGTACAATCATACTTCTGGGTCCATGAGAATCGTTGGTATGTGTAGTACAATCATAGATATTTAATAGTAAATGAATTAATCAAAATATACGTTGTCATTGCCATTGTCACTCCTAATTCTAGATTTTTTTAACATGAAATTATAATCATAATGAAGATAAACAAAGGCTAATATATTCATTAAGTCATAGTCATTGCCACCCCTTTAGTTGGTTCAAATAATTGTGAGGAAAATAACGGAAATGATAGATATTATATTCAAACACGTAGCTATCTTCCTTATAATATAGGGTTCTTGTGAATATGAAAGAAGGATTAAACTAGATACAATGATTGTAATAATATAAATATTTGTATGATGCCATGTTTTGTATTCCTATTTTAATTTTTTTTAGAGTTCTTTCTCCATCTACTTCGTTTGTACTTTGCCCATGTTCCTTGAGAATCTTAGGTATTCAATTCATCTTATGTCATTGATAATTATTTTATTGTGTGTTTCTATGCTTGTTATCTCCTAAGAGAAACGATAGAACTTTTAGAGAAGTTCTAATGTACAACTGCTTAATTTAAGATCAAGGAACGACAAGCAGTGACGGAATTTGGTGATAGAGTTTGGGGGCCAACTTAAAACTTTAAAAATTTTAAAGGTTTAAATTAAAATTTTCTAAAATTTTGAAGAGTTTAGTTTACATTTTTTATATATGAGAGATAATGAATAATATGCCAACTTACATTTATTTTAAATTGCACTTATTTTCTTTCTTTAACCTTAAATAGACTGGTGTACTAGATCTTTCCGTAACTTTTATCTATAAGCGATAATGAATAATAGAAGGGAGTCCGTAAAGTTGAAAGCAAATAATTTTTTACCTGAAGAAGGTAAAATTCAGAGTACATAGCATCCACCCCTTCTAGGATAAAAAAAAAATTGAAATGTACCCCACGTACCTGTGTCAATAATACGAGAAAAGACGGGACTTTGTGACCATGGGAAACCCTAATAACAAACCACTTCAAAGGGGAAACAAAGAAATCATCACTCCTTAGAATTATCTAGAAATGTTTTAAGATTTAGGTATATTATTGAATCGAAATCTATAGTGCATGAATCAATGACCGTATCCATTGAATCCAATAAGTCATTATAATCAATGAAATGCATTTAAAAATAGCAAAATTATACCAACAATCAGTTGGTCTAGTGAGATGAGATACCAGATCCTTTAAGCAAGGTCAGAGGTTTAAATCATGACGTTTGTGAATGAAGCAAACTGAATTGAGAGGATTATTCTTGCTTCTGCAGTACCCGATTTAGATTAGTCGATCAAGAATATCAGAAACCAATGGTTATAACTAAAAATAGCAAAACTATCTCCTCCTTCCTTTGGCACATCATCTTTTTTTAGTCTCACTCTATTATTGTATCAAACTAATTATAAAAATTCATACAATTCTTTTGGATTGTTTTTATAGTCTGGGCGATTACAATGAAGTAATAATTCAAACCTTTTTAATTTGTTAATAACGTACACACATTATATAAACGTAATTTTTTAAACTCGAAACATTTATGAAGAATAATTTCTCCTATTACCGATGAGACCATTTTATGAATTCATTGTTTTTATTTTTTTCAACAAAGTTGGTCTTTGCTTTGAGTTGCTCTTTGCTTTGAGTTGCTTCCCGTTACTTTCTCTTACCCTTCCAATATAACATAAAAAGTATATGATAAATTATCGAAAGTGACACTTTCTTTATACAAGTGTTCACTATTGGTCATTGAATTTTAAAAAAATATTTTGATCAGTTACGATATCGATTTATAACATTTGATCAACGTTAAATGTTGTTAGTTTGATAATATGGTATGTTAGTAAAAGGGGTTAATTCTTCATTTTACTCTTGAATTTCATATAAAATATTAATTTAATTCCTACACTTTAGATAAAATATTAATTTAACTCAACTCTTGAACTTTTAATAAAATACGATAATATAAGTGACCAAAACATTTTTAAATTCGGTGATAAAAAGTAGATACTTAAATTTTAGATAAAATATTAATTTAACTCTTAAATTTTAAATAAATTATTAATTTAACTCTTGAATTTTAAATAAAATATTAATTAACAATATAAATTATTAAGATTTTATTTTTATTTTAAAACACGATGCTAAAAAATGAACAGCTATAAAATAAAACTTAACACTTGGATAATTTATCCAACGAATTTTTCCTATAAAAACCCAACTCTGCTTCTGAGCTTCTTCCCCCTTTCGCTCATTGTAATTGTTGTTCCTTGAGGACACCATTCTTACAATCTTCTCCTTCAGTTTCCCCTGTTTCTTGGCCTATCAACTTACCTGGTTTTTGAAACCGGTATGGTACTTCTTCATTGAAACCTTCATTCTCTTTACATGTTCAAACATTAATTTTTTTATGATTTTAAAAGCTTCCTGCTTTCTGGGTTTTCTTCATGAAAATCCTTTCTCCTTTTGGTTTCACTCAAAACACGGCACAATGATAAAATCAATGTTCCTTTACCCTAAAATATTGCTGACTTTCTTTGATGGGGAAGTTGGTTCTTTCCCTATGTTTAATTATTATCACCTTTTATTGCCCATATTGTGTTTTCTTTTTGGTTGAACAATCATCACTTTTAAATTCCAAACTCTTTAAACTGTACCATTTTAATTGTTTTATTAAACACATTACCTTCTTTTAATCACTTTTGGTACTTAATCCTAGGTTTATGCCCTTTTTGATTTGGATTTGTAGTTGTGGTTGTGGTTTATCCATTCATGAACTAATTGATTAAAGTCTTATCCAATTACTGAGGATTGGTTAAACCTCATCCACTTATTAGGATTTTCCTAGTGTTCCATGGTGGTTATCTGAGTCATTTGTGTCCTTAGTTTCATACAAGCCATGGGGAGATATTTAAATCAATTATTTATACATTAAGCTTACTCGGACTTCAATGTTTAACTCATTTCCCTTGATTATTTAAGGTCCTCTTTGCTGGTTATTCCTTCCAACAAGTGAGAAAATGGAATTTGAGGATCGATACCGACAAGCTCAGAGGCATAAATTCGATTGCCTTCTCTTCGGTAAGCTAATCGGCTTCGAAAACAAGAGGTTTAACATATGAAGTAATGGCTGAAAAAAGGTGGGTTTGTTGGATTTGCAGATCTTGATGATACCCTTTATCCCCTTAGTTCTGGTCTTTCAAGAGAATGTGGGAAGAACATTAAAGGTTAGGATTTGCACTGTGATACATGCATGGATGTTATTCAAAGATTTAAGCTTTTAAATGAAATGTTCATTTTTTTCTTTCAGATTACATGGTGGAAAAGCTTGGGATAGAAAAGGAAAAAATTGTTGAACTGTCCAACTTGTTGTATAAGAACTATGGGACAACAATGGCTGGCCTCAGGGTACTCTTTTGTTCTTTTTTTTCCTAAGCTTTTGTCATTAGACAAAGATCAGAGGATTAACTGAAAATTTAATTTTTTTTTTCAGGCAATTGGTTATGATTTTGACTATGATGAATACCACAGCTATGTTCATGGAAGACTTCCTTATGAAAACCTAAAACCAGATCCTCAATTGAGGAATCTATTGCTGAGCTTGCCTCTGAGAAAAATTGTAAGCATTTGAAATGTGCTCAAAAATCACTCCCAATTGTCTCCCAACAGAACTCTAAATTTGTCTTGTTGGTATAGATTTTCACAAATGCAGACAAGGTCCATGCAGCTAAAGCTTTGATTAAACTTGGATTAGAGGACTGTTTTGAAGGGATTATATGCTTTGAGACACTCAATCCTGCCCATAAAACCACAGTTTCTGATGATGAAGATGACATTGAGTTTCTGGGATCAGCTGTTGTCGCTAGAAGCCCTGAAGTTTTCGACATAATCGGTCATTTTGCCGAGACCAAAGCACCGTGTGGAACTTCAACATTACCAAAGACACCCATTGTTTGCAAACCACAAGAATATGCCATAGAGCTTGCCCTCAAGATTGCCAAACTCAACCCTCAAAGAACAGTAAGATGATCTCAACATGTTATTTTAATAACAGTCAAATGATGTTTTTTTCTCAACATGGGGTTTTGTTGTTTCAGTTGTTCTTCGACGACAGTGTCCGAAACATCCAAGCAGGGAAACGTGTCGGTCTTCACACGGTGCTGGTGGGGACTTCACAGAGACCTAAAGGAGCAGATTATGCATTGGAAAGCATTCACAACATGAAGCAGGCATTACCGGAGCTCTGGGAGACCGACATGAAATCGGAGGTCGGTTACTCCGGACAGGTTACGGTGGAGACATCTGTGACTGCTTAGATTATTATTCTATGTTATTTATTACTTGTTAATTAACGTTGTTACGAAGATGAAAATCCACCAATCATGGTGTGGTCCCATTGCCTGTAATTTGTTTCTGATTATCCAGATGTCTGGTTCTGATCTTTCAAATGCATAATATAATAATCCTACTGTTTGGGATGGCTTAATCATTGTTGTCTTAATCTGACAGATTAAGAATTTAAGACCATGCTAATCAGATACCAATATAATATATGACACTGGATTTAATTTAATAATTTCTCTCCTATAATATAATATATTTGTATGATCGGAGGGTCAGATTTGATGCATGCAAATATAGAACCCGAAGTGGAAAACCGAAAATCAAATTAAACGGGGACGGAGAAAAACAGTTTATGCTAAACGGGGATGGAGACGGGTTTGGTAATCCCCGCCCCGATTACCCGGCCCGATACCCATCTCGATAAATTTTAAAAATAATTATTATATATATATATATAATATTAATAAATTTAATTTAATTTAATATATATATATAATATTTATATATTTAATTTAAATATATATATAGCCGGCCCGATACCCGTTTAAATAATCGTTTATGCTAAACGGGGATATCCGTTTCCCAAAGGTTTTTCCCGATTATCCGATGGGGATCCCCGTTTAAATCCCCGCGGTTTTTTAAGCGGGGACGAGTATGAGTTTTTTAAATGGGGACGGATATGAATTTTTTAAACGGGGACGGGGACAGGGACGGGGAGACCAATACCCGGCCTGTTGCCATCCCTAGAAAGGATATTTTACCTTAAACAGTTCTAAAGCTAAATCAATATTTTGTTTAGTGTCTAATTATAAATTTTATTCTTATGAAAATTTGAGAAATTAATTTCTTTAGTTTAATTTATTAGAATATGGTCTGGATGGAACCAGAATATCAGCTTAAGGAACAAGATATAATAACTGTAGAAAATGAGAGAGAGTAAAATATAATTAACCATAAAAAATAAGAAGTGAAATTAAAATAAACTAAAATTTGAAGATCTAATTTAATATTTACCCATATTTTTTTATAAAAAATTAGAGGCGATAGCCCCGGGACGAAGCATTGCTAATTATAAAAACATAAAATGCTCATGAACTTTATGATAATCGAGAAATTAATTCAATTAAAAACATAATTTTATAAAAATTACAGTTTGACAATTTATATACAAAAAGTTAAAAAAAAGTTCAATAACTTATATGTAATAAATAAACCAAAACTAATTATTTAAATTCACATATTTACTAACAAGTAGACTAACTTTTCATTTTTTTATTAACAAATAACTTTCCATTTTTTTACAAAATATTCTTTTTTATTTTTAAAATTGATCTCTCTCAAATTTTTAAATCGAAAGATATTATATGTTTAAACAAACTCGAAATTACATTCTCCCTAACTGAATTAAGGCTCAATAGGGTACAATTTAAAAGGAATTTGCAGAAGAAAAATCTTTTAAGCTACAGAAGTTCAACCCTTGAATCAAATTATATTTAGCTAAATATTATTTTAAGGAGAAAAAAAAAACTTTAAACAAGTTCCATTTGTATCTGGCTGATGCGAAACGATGTCGTAAATCTGATAAAATTACTGAAACCAGGGCGAAACGGCGTCGTTGTGAAGGGAAATTTGTTTTGACAACTTGGCATCAACCAGTGCGAAAACCATTCTAGTATATACGGGGGGGGGGGGGGGGGGGGCAATAAGAAAGTGCTGAAATCGTAGATCTAAAACTATAAACATTATAATCAGGGGAAAGGTGAAAACCATAATTATTCTGTTCTACAACAAGCTCTAGCAAATACAAAACCGACTTTAAAAGAAATAGAAAGAATACATTATATATTTTACCATGCAGCCAATGCGTTTGCAAATGCGGAGGGGCATAGGCTTTAATTAGCAGCCAAATCTTCGTACTGCTATGGATTGAATTCAGTCCACTTAACATCGATTCCATCACTGTGCTACTTGAGCTATTGATGGCAGCCCAGTATTCTGAATACTTGCCATTGTATTGATACACTTCCAAGTCGCCCCACGGAGTAGCAGCGACTTCGTCGGTGAAGTCGAACCATTTTGGAGTGAATTTATGGCCCCTTTCTTCCCTGTTTTTCTTTTCAGCTCTCTGTCTTTCCTCCAAACTGACCAACATAAAGAGTTTTGAAGACATTAGTTCACCATCAAAATAATGCATGAAAGAAAACAGAAAACTTCGATATCTAGTTTGAGTGGGAAACAGTCCTGCTCTTTTCAAAACCAGCTTTAGAGAGTTCACCCTGCTCTAGTGCAAATCTGTCTTGGGCGTAAATGAGAATCGGATGCTAATAGCTTCTTGGGAGTAGTATCAAAGCTGTTAATCTTATGCGCAAAATATGTGTATTGGAATTTATCATTTTTGGGAGCATCAGCAACTCGCCATGACTGCATAAGAGAAAAGACAAGGAGTCCAGTATCGGGGTTCTAATGTAATCGTTGTGGCATTGTTTATTTGCTATGTCGAAACCTACTGGATTCAGGAAAGGTATGATGCTTCACACTGTGATCGGAAAAAGTGTGTTTTCACCATTTTGATAGCAAATTTGTTTTGGAAATCAAATTTAATCACTTGGGGAAGGCACAGAATCAATAACATGCTTTCTGGTCAAGAATCACATGTAAAAAGCATATTATTCTTTTCATTCTTCGGTAAAGTTCTGGCAGGAAAAGTGAATTCCAGAATAGAATCAATAAAAAGGCTAGGGGTGTGTTTATGAGAATACGAAAGATGCAAACAACTAATGTGTTGAAAATGACAAACCTTCTTTAGTTCAGATCCAGGAAGTGGTTCGCCATCACTGTCGCAAGGTTGATAACTCATGGATTCATTCCATTTCCCAGTCATCAAAATCTTTGGCTCCTCAGCAGCATTATACACATATCCATCAATCTCATATCGCCCAGCTCTGTGAACAACCAATAAAGAACTTTTAAATTGTGTGACATAACCAGATGATACAAATTGAATACTTAGAAATTGATGCCCAAAGAAACAGATGAGGTGAAACAAAAGGAATTTCTCAAAATAAGGCTAAAACAATACCCGAACCAACCAGATGGTTGAAAATATAAAACAGCTTTGTCTCCTGTTGTCAGGTTTGTCATGATCATCTCCCAGATGAGTCCACCCAAGTTCGTCCAAATATTAGATTGTTTACTTGTGTGGGAGGAGGCACCAAGTCCAGAACAACGCCATCTCTTTTCAGGGTCACACGAGTCCTGCAAATAAAATTATATTAGAATAGATGCAGCTCTCACTGATATCAAATACTACAAAAGGATAATCCAATTGATTTCAATTTGATCAGATGAGAAGAGCCCTAGAAGATTAAGATCCCATTCGAGTTTATGTATGACAGCCACAATGTCTGACAGCATCAGAACGCATATAAAAAGTTTTAAAAATTGCAGAAAAAAAAAAAGGAGGAAGGAAGAGGAAGATTGTATCTTGTTAAGCAAGTTATGAAAGAGAGCATGTTTTACCTTCCAAGCGGATAGATGTCAATTGAGTTCCCCAAAGTTTGGTTTTGACTTTAGAAGAATATCATAAGTGAAATGCTCATTTTCAGCATGACCAGCGCTCATCGGAGGGTGATGACTAACCTGCAAGGGAAAATATTTAATAAGGATCACAAAATCGCAGCCATTGAGAAATTATAATAATAACAATGTCAGAAACAATAGCAAAAGGCATTAAAATGAAAAGATTAAAAGAAGAACCAAGACCTAGGTCTAAATACCTACCTGTTCAGCAATAAAGTAATGTCACCATGATTAACCATTTCATAAGTCTCGCCAAGTATAGGATTGAATTGTTTCCAGGTACGTTGATAAGCATAGTAGACCAAATCTTACTCGAGTAAACCATGTTGAAAATAATAGTCAATTTAAGTGGCAACAGTCGGCTGCTAATTTAGTCTAAGGGGCAGCTAACTTTGGTGAATTTGGTAAGGTATAGTTATCAAATTTAATCATTAGAATTTAGGGTATTTACAAGATTAGTCCTTAAGCTTCAACTATAAATACCCTAGCTCATTTAGCTTCAAAACCATCCCAAAGCATTCTAGCTTTCTTCCAATACTAGGGAGAATTTAGAGTTTCTTGAGAGTTGTTTCTCCTTTTTATCAAGAGAGAATTATCATTGTTTTCTCCTTGGTAGATCGAGAGAGGTTGCAATTCCTATTTCTCATAGTGAAATTCTACTATTGCCCGTGGTTTTTATCCTATTATTTAAGGGGTTTCCACGTAAATTTTGTCTCTTTTATCTTCATTTTTATTTTCAAATTATCAGTTGCGATTTTGCTGTATCCGATAAGCGTCTTCCGCAACAATTGGTATCCGAGCCAGATTGAGTGTGTATACATGCTTATTTTCTTGTGTCGCCACCAAAAGGTGGATCCTCCAACATAAGAAAGTAAGAAGGTATTACCAATTCTTTGAAGGTTCTAGAGAACTATTCACGATAGTGAAATAGTGGGAGCTATCCGTAATAGAAGTTATGTCAACGAAATTTTATATTGAAAAATTGATGAGAGAAATTCTCATTGTGGAATTGAAGATGAAGGCCATCATGAGGAAAGATGGTTGTCTAGTAGCTATCAGTGAAAGGCCGTTGGATTTCACAGATGACAACAAATGGATTGAAATGGACGGGAATGCTATGGCAAACTTTCTAGCATTAGCAGATGAAGTATGTCAAGAATCGAGGAGAAGAACAACTAAGGAGATATGGGATCATCTCACCAAACTGTACGAGGCCACACGCTGTACAATAAAATTTTCCTTAAGAGAAAATGTACACTCTCCGTATGCCAGAATCTACTTCAGTGACGGAGCACTTAAATACACTGAACACTTTATTTTCTCAGCTTTACATCCTTAAGCTGTAAAATAGGAGAACAAGAACGTGCTAAACTTCTACTTCAAAGTCTACCTAATTTGTATGATCAACTCATCATCAACTTGACAAACAGTAATGTCACCAGTCTAGTCTTCGATGACGTTGCAGCCGCTATTCTACAAGAAGAAAATCAGCGCAAGAATAAGGAAGACAGA